GGGGGGGGGATAGCCACAGCTGGACCCATGTCCTGGTGGGTGAAGGGGGCAGGGGGAGCTCTGAATTTCCTGGATTAAAAAACCCCCCAAATCACATGCCAAAATGTGTAGGTTTTTAGAATTTATTTTATTATAATGATTGTGGCAGTGCTAGGCTTCCAAATTACTTTAGAATTGTACACATTTCAATAAAACATTGTGTTCTACTAATAGTGATGTATGTAGTGGCGCTTCATTTTAATTGCAGAAAAACGTGGATTTGGGTTTTTTTTAAACAGAGAATTTGCTATTTTTAAACAGAGAAAACCAGGATCCCTTATGACACAGCAGACAATTACTCTGCCATTGTATATTTTGTGAAATAGAACCAATTATTCCCTTGGTTGCACAGGTTGAGGACCAATCAGTGTACTGGATTTCCCCAGTGTGAAAGGGGACTTAAGGGTCAGATGTTAATTTTTGTCCTATAATCCCCTTTACATGCCATCCATAGAATCGTAGAATCGAATAATAGAATCAAAGGACCAGAAGGGACCTGCAGGATCCTCAAGTGCAGTCCTCTGCCATGGGTAGAAGTTATTGGGCTCAAATGAGTTCAACAAGATACTTATCCAGCCTCATGTTGAACACATCCAAGGATGACGACTGCATCACTTCTGCTGGGAGTGTGTTCCAGGTTCTGGTAACCCTTAGAGAAAAAAAGTTTTTTCTTATGTCCAGTCTCTAAATTTTCCTTCAATTAGCTTGTGCCCATTCGTCCTCATCCTCCCTTGAGGTGCCTTTCTGAAGAGTTGCTTCTCTAGATCTTGATGCTTACCCCTAACGTACTGCAGGCCCCTAATCATACAGTTGGTACTCTTTTGTACCTTCCCGAGTTTATCCACATCCTTCCTGATGTACGGTGCCCAGAACTGTACACAGTTCTCCAGCTGTAGTCTCAGCAGTGCCGCATAGAAGAGGGAGAAGCACCTCCCTGGATCTACTGGTAACACATCAGCTGATGCACACCAGAATACTATTTGCCCTGCTGGTGACTTAATCGCACTGTTGACTCGTTCATCTTCTGGTCGATTGTGACCCCCAGGTCCCGTTCAGATGCAGTGTCAGCCAGTGTACCACCACCCATCATGTAGTTATGGTGAAGGTTCTTCCTACCCAGGTAAAGAACCCTGCGCTTCTCCCTGTTAAACCTCATCTGATTCCATTCTGCCCATTAAACCAGTTTGTCAAGGTCATCCTATCTGTGTAGTGCCTTCTACTCAGCACTGGGCTGTCAAAGGCTAATTGCTCACTTGGCACTCTCATGCTATTCAGGCAGGCACTTTGTGGGCACAAAATAGTGCCAACTTGAGTTAGAAGAACTCTTAGTATTTATATAGGTGTGTGTACTGACAAGGGTTGCATAGCTACTGTGCTTTGCAAACCTCTTCACTTATCATACTCCCTGAACTGCATTAGAATGATTTTTACAGAGATGTTGAACAAGCCCTTTTGTAGTTCTATGCAAGTGGCCTGTTTGTTTCCTCAAATGTTATAGCATGATCACTCTCTACTAAAGCCAGAAATAGACCAAAACCAACTCTCCTGTTTCTTGGTTTCCATTCTGTTGGGATAGAATTTGGTTAGTATGTTAATTTGTATCTACCTGTTAATGAAACGTATGCCTTCCTCCTTGCTATAAGATTCTGCCTTGCAGTGGGAATAATGCCAATATTATTTGGTATTAAATCTAGGCAGCATTTCTCCAGTTAAGTCCTGAACACTTTATTTAGTTGCATTGTCATGGTTCTTACTGTGCTATAGAGCATGAAACATTCCTAGGACTGATTTTGCTTGCTGTGTGTGAAGGCACCTTTGGAGAGCCCCACTGACTTCAAAGAATTATTTGTGGGGGTATGAGTTGGCCTGTGAAGACTGGGTGCAGAATCAGGACCTAAAATGAGATTTGCTGAATGCTGTACAGTCTCCTGTTGTTCTTAGGAGGGGTGAGGGCATAGGTGGAGGGAGAAAAAATTGTGGAGGGGGGGAAGGAGGGCCTGAGCGCGTGCGCATGTCCCCATGGGAAAGTCCAGGGGGAAAGGGGCGGGGGGAAGGGAAGGGAAGGAGCTGTGGCAGGGGGAGGGAGTGGGGCTGTGGCTGGGCAGGGATTGGGAGGGAGTGGAGCAGAGCCAGGCCTGGGATTATGATCAGGGCCAGGGCTCGCTGCACCCATGTGGCTGCCCCTTCCCCCATGCCCAGGGTCATTGCCAGTGCCAGCGGTCCCCACGAATCTGCTGTCCCCTAGCCCTGCACTGGCCCCAGCCCTGCACCACCCAGGGGGGCCACAGCAGGGCCAGCTTCAACTGCACCACTGGGTTGGAGGGGACGGAGTCCCTGGGACCCTCACGCCTGCCCTGCCCCACCCCACTCAGAGCTGTCCCTGGGAAGGACCTGGCACAGCCCAGCGGCTCCTCCAGAGGCGCGGTGCCAGGGTGCCAAGGTGGGGGCAAGTGGCTCCCAGATTTTTTTGCATGGGGCAAGGGCAGGCTGCAGCTGCAAGCTGGGCTCTGCCTTCTCCCTGCCTCGGTGACATGCTGCTGCTTTTAAAGGTGGCAGCGAGGTGCGGAGGCAGGGAGCAGGCAGAGCCCAGCTTGCAGCTGCAGCCTTCCCTTGCCACATGCAGAGATCAGGGGGCTACTTGCCCGCACCTTGGCTCCCTGGCGCCGCACCTCTGGAGGAGCCGCTGGGCTCCGATTGTTCCACGACCCCACCTGGCCAGGGCTGCATTCATCATGAACGGGGCTGCAGCTGGGCTGGGTCATGGGACAATCCCCACAGTGTAGCAGGGAGTGGGGCAGGGATGAATGATTTGTCCCTGCCCCAACCCACTCCCTCCTGCACTGTGGGGGTCTTGAACCCCCCCCCCCCCCCCCCCCCACCGCCGCGTG